AGGCGGCGGCGGCGGGGACGGCGAAGGAGCTATTTGTTTTTTCAATCAATGCTGCCAGCCAATGAAATGAGGCCTAAACCATGAGTCTAATAGAAAGCTAACAAAACACGATTAAAAAGGAAGTTCTGGGCTTCCCGGCCTCTGAGAGCATCCCTGCAGGAGTGAGGGTGGCCAGCCAGGGAGACAAAGGACATCTCCTATTGGGCCCTCCCCCAGACCACACCTGGGGTACGTCTTCATTTATATATTTTCCGGTTGTGCCAGGTGGCTGTGACCACAGGTAGTCATTTCCCTGAATTCTGTGAGGTATTCTCGAGAATTAATGAACCCAAAGGGGACGATGACCAAGCGGGTCTGGGTCTGCCTATAAAAGTCAGCCTGACTTTTAAACTCCGACACAGCTCTGAGTTGCCAATTCAGAGAAACTACAAATACAGCGCGTGGGTGCTATCTGACCACCTCTAACTTCAAGAGGGGAAGCGAGAATCGGGAGAAGATTGATTCCTATGAGGTGGAGGTCAGATAAATCTTCACCCTCCAACCTTTCTACCAGTTCCATTACCAACTCTCTCTCCCCCCACTCTCAACTTCTCCTCTATTTTGTGATACATTATGAATACCAGCCTCTATGCCTGGGGTTACAGTCCTGTTTTGAAGTGAGCTGTCTGTTGTGTGAATGAAGCAGGATTAGAGCAGGGTGTGTTTTAAGTTGCTACCCTACTCGAAGGTGTGGCCTGTACCCCATAGACAGGAAGGACCTGGGCAAGTTCTTTCTCTTGCTCGGAATCCTGCATCTGATTTTCACCTGACCTTCCGTTCTTATGACTTGAGTCAGTCGCCTGTCATCAGACGTGACTCACTGGTTTCCACAGCCTTGTGCGCTGGTCGTGTGTCATCTGACCTGCAGTTTGTATTCAGGAGGACCTGCAGTCACATGGGTGGGGAGAGACCTCCAGACGGATACTTGACCCTGTGGATTTGGCACCTGTCTCCAAGAGAATTCTACACCAAGAGATGCTTTGAGGTTAGCCTAGAGTTGTAGCTGGTCTAACTCTCCGACTACCCAAGGACAGAAACCACCCAAAAACTATCCCGGAGTGAGACAGGAAAACCTGGAAGCCAGCGCAGAAGAGCAGTTCACAGTGGAGCGGGCTGAGGGACCTCGCAGACCAATGTTGGCTTAAATGGTGTCTTAGTTGATGAAAGTGAGCACCTGTCGCCTGCAGTTGAAGAGCCTGTCCTGGAGGTGTGGGGCTTACACACAGGATACCCCTGCAGACCTCAGCCCATGCATCTCTCCCTTGATATTCTTTCTTTACAGAATTCTGTGGTACACTACATTACAGGTTGTCTTTGCACACATGGTACTTCGGCAGACTAGAGATGGATGACCATGCTCAACAGGAAAAGACGTGCAGAAGAAGAATGGGTGCTGTCCGAAATGATGCACGAGTGGGAAAGTTGGGGCCTTTTTGATCTCCATTGTCTCCCAGGAACCAGCCTTGAGTTGATTCTCAAGCTCAAGGGTTATCATTTCAGTAGACAAAGAGTTACAATCTGCTTTATAATAGAACTGAGAACGCAAGATGCTAAATGTTTTTTCCTAGGGGGGGGGGCAAATCAGCAGGCAGGGCAGAGAGCTTAATAGAAGAGAGCCCTGTATATAGTAAACATTCACAGTAACTACCGTAGGGCTAGGGTTTCAGGGAGAGAGCACCGAAGGTTCACCCAAGCTGACGGGTTTCCTGGATGGGAAGATAATCGGAGCCCCTTCTCTACATACTGGAGACTTTTCTTCAAGAAGAGCAAAATACACCGGAAAACAATATATGTCCGATATTTTCAGGGAAGATCTTGATTTGACAGCCTGCTGTAGGAAGTCGAAGGAGCTTAATTCATTAGATTGAGAGAAACTGGAAAGGGTTAGACCAAGAAAGGAGGAAAAGGGAATCAGATCCTTTGGAGGAGACCAGCATGGAAGCAAAGGCGAGCGAGAGAAGGCAATGGCACAAGTACCACTTTATTCTGAAGGAGCCACGCTCAAGGTGGGCTGCGTGTGAGGGATACACCTAGTCTTTCCTAGGGTGGGGAAAGATGTCGGACTCAGGGAGAAAAGTAATGAATTTTAAATTCCCCACTTAAAATTGGGGAGAGAGGCCTCAATGTTGGAATTCCAGAGCAAGGGGAGCTGGAAAACATTCTAGATTTGAAAATCCTAGAAGAAGAAAAAATCCTAGTATAAAAAACATCGAGATGCAGATCAAATAAGCAGTAATTCAATCTCAGGAGAGAGAGAGAAGTAAGCCTTTCTCTACAGTCCTGGAAAGGAAAAAAGGTACCACATGGGGAGGGGAAACTATGAAGGAATTCTTAGGTCTCCTCAGATAGTCCTTTCCTTTCCTTTTGTTTTTTATTTTTTAAATTGGGATTTAATACATAGATCCTTCCATAGGTCAATCACATCAAGCAGTATTGTACAACTGCTACTACACATCAGTTTCCAAACATTCTTTTCCTTCCTGGACTCCTTGACCTCGGCTCCCTTTTACCACCCCCACCCCCGACTCCCCACCATCCCAGAAACCCTTATTCTACTTGCTGTCACCTCCAGGTTCATCAATCTTGGGTTTCGTGGATACAACACCTTTTCTGCCTTGAATGTGATTCTGACAGCCTTCCCCCATTACCAGTGCTCTCCACTCACTCACCTGAGAAGATTCCACTGTAGCCTCCATGGAACAGAGACCAGGGTTGTTCTCCTTGTACTAGTCGCGAGAGTGCATCAGGTTTGCTAACTTGACACCCTGTTCGTGGGAAAGCACAGAATCTTAGACACGTCGAATGGACCTTGGGCTTGTGAAGACGGCAGAGTGTTCTATTTGGGAAAACAAACCTTTTCAAGTGCACAAAGTAGGTTCTCAGAAGAACAAACCCATTCATCTAGGTCAGGGGTCCTCAAACTTTTTAAACAGGGGGCCAGTTCACTGTCCCTCAGACCGTTGGAGGGCCGGACTATAGTTTAAAAAAAGCTATGAACAAATTCCTAGGCACACTGCACATATCTTCTTTTGAAGTGAAAAAACAAAAGGGATAAAAACACTTGGCGGGCCGGATAAATGTCCTCGGTGGGCCGCATGTGGCCCGCGGGCCGTAGTTTGAGGACCCCTGATCTAGAGCTAGAGAACTGACAAGAGAATCTGCCCACGGATACTCCGACTATGTTAGCAGTTGTGGAAGGAAAGGCCAACAACAAGAGAGCTGTCCTCACCCACAGACACCAGGTTGCGATAGTTCTCCAACATCACGTCCCAGTACAGGTCCTTCTGAGCCGGGCCCAGGAGCTGCCACTCCTCCCGGGTGAACGCCACAGCCACGTCATCGAATGTCAGTGATTCCTAAATTAAGATGACTCTGTTTAATACAATAGTTTCCATTCGAGGGGAATGAAATGTTGAGAGACTATATTCGGCTCACTTCCTCTCTCTAGAGTGCTGCATTTATATACATACAAGCTGAGTTAGTTAAAGCTTATTGTGCCAACCTGGCCAATAAACATACGTGGGGTTAACTGAAGGGTGGAGAGACAAATGGCTCCCTGAGCCTCGCTTTCTAGTTCTCGGGTCTCTTGCTTTCTGATGGTCAGACCAGGGTGCAGCTGCTTCAGCTGGCAAGGCTCACTTTCTGCAAGACATCCCTGAGGAGAAGCCACATGGACCTGCTCCGATGCAGCCCTGGGTGCTGGAGCAGCCGTGTGGAGACCCCTGCCAGCGCTGAGATGCTTACATGTTCAATGACTCAGCTTTCCTCCTGCTGTCGGCGTCATTGTGTGTGTTTTGTGAGATGGAGGAGGACTTTGTGGGTTGGTGTCAGACATATGGGTTAATGTTGGACTTGTGGGCTTGGGCAGCACTGGGTTGGGATGTTTGCTTGATGCACACTTACCCTTTCTATAAAACTCTCTCTTATACACGAGTTTCTGTAGATTTGTTTCTCTGAAGTACCCAGACTAACACACAAGCTATATACAACCTTCTGGGGAAACATCAATCAACCTGGACAAAAGTAACCAACCCCGGGGTGGCAAACTAAGGCAACGGGTTTTTTAATATCTTATAGGACAAAACAAAAACAAAACCCCCTTAATTACAGTGGATTTGTGGATTCCATAAGCCTATAAAATCAGAATGTTCTATGAAGTATAGCAGCCATAAAATTGTCTATGCTGGAAATTTACATACACAGTAGTTATGCAAACAGGTATGTATATATATTAATGGACATGTTGACAGTATATTGGGAAATAGGACTAGGAGGAGTAGCAGGATCGGGAACCTTGTCAGATCGTGTCTAACTTCAAGGGCAATGACGACCCCGATTGGTTCAAGGCTGATACCTGTGAAGTTGAGGTCAGAGACACCTCTACCTTCCAACCTTCTACCAAGGGCTCACCAACCACCCCTCCCATAGTCCTCTCTCCATCTCTTTTGGGTTCAGGAATCTAGTCTAATTAAAAAAACAACACATACACAACAACAAACCACACACACAACAACACAACCAACTGCCATGTAGTCAATTCCGGATCCTAACGACCCTACAGGAAGGACAAGGTGGGACCTGACTCTGTGGGTTTCCGACACTGTCGCTCTTCACAGGAGTAGACAGCCTCATCTTTCTCCTGAGGAGCAGCTGGTGGTTTCAACCCGCTAACCTCGCAGTTAGCAGCCCAATGCATAACCCACTACATCACCCAGCACCATGATCCAATCCAGGGGCCTTCAAACTTTTAAAACAGGGGGCCAGTTCACTGTCCCTCAGACCGTTAGAGGGCCGGACTATAGTTTAAAGAAAAAAACTATGAACAAATTCCTAGGCACACTGGAGAGTCGGCTGCTAAGCAGGACAGGCAGTGGCAGCAAAAACACCTGGCAGGCCGGATAAATGTCCTTGGAGGGCCACATGTGGCCCGCGGT